GCTAGCATTTACATAGCATTCTAAGCTTTGCAAAGCACTTTACAAATACTATCTCATTTGATCCTCACAACAACCCCAGGAGGTACATGCTATTATCATCCCCATTTTGTAGATAAGGAAACTGAAGCAGATATGGGTTGAGTGCCTTGCCCAGAGTCACACAACTAAGTGTCTGAGACTAAGCTTGATTCCAACCCATCATTCCAGCCCTTATTATATATTATTCTTTTTCTGGTACTCTACTGTCCAGCCATAGTGGCCATCTTGCTATTCCTCACAGATATTATTTCAACTCTTATCTCAGTGTCTTAGCTCTGGTTGTCTCCTATGCCTGAAATGCTCTCCCTCCTCACCTTTGCCTCTTAGAATCCCTTACTTGCTTCAAAACTCAGCTCAAGCACTATGTTCTATGAACCGCATCAGCCCCAACCCTAGCCCCACCAACTGCTAGCATCCTCCCTCCCTCACTAAGATTATAGACCTCGGGCTAAAAAAAGAGCCCAGAGATCATCTAGTCATTTTGCACTTGCAGAAAGTAAAGCCTCGGGAGGTGAAGTGATTCGCATAAAGTCACGTAGTAAATATCTCAGGCAGACTTGATCCCAGCTTCTCTTACTCTGGAGCTGGTGCCCTTTCTACTGTACCATATGTGTACATGCATGCATCACATACATGCATGCACACATGCACGTGACAGAAGAAAGACTCCTTGAGGGCAAAGACTGTTTGCTTTTTTGTCTTTGGACAAAATATGGAGCCTAGCACAGTGCCTGGTACATAATGGGTGTTTAATAATAACTGACATTTATATAGAGCTTTAAGGTTTGCGAAGCACTGTGCCCATGTTATCCCATTTAGTACTCGTGATATTACTCTGAAGTAAATGTTTCTATTATCCCCATTTTACAGATGAAGAAAACAAGGCTGAGAGCTATTAAATGAGGCAAGAGGCAGGATTGGTAGTTAGGTCTTCCTGACTCAGTGTTCAGCACTCTTACCCACTGAGCTGTCTAGTCACCATCATCATCATCATCATCATCATCATCACCATCATCAAAATAATTCATTGATTTAAAACTAGTTAAAATGAGAAAATGACACTGCTAAAAATCTCTAATCCCAAAGGTAAAAAGGACCATAAGTTTATTTGCCTAGTCTTCTGTGATTTTTAAGTTTTTTTAAATGAGTTTTTTACTTCTCATCCTTTTTTATCTATATCTTTTTCAGCTTGTGTCTTTTGTATTTGTTTATCATTTTAATTTAGTTTACATTAGTTCTGCAGTTGGGCTGTTTCATTTTTTTCAGATTTTTGGGGGGGAGGGGAGAAAGAAAGTAAAAGATTGAAAAAGGACAGCAGGGGTAAGAAAGCTAGAGTCTATCCCAAAGTTTTCTTATCCCAGTGCAGATGCTATATAAAAGGTTATCTGTATGCCTAGTCCAGTGAACCCAACACTCCCTCCGCTTTTGGATGGAAATCTGGGCTTGAAGCATGACTGTTCCACCCATGTGCTGACACATATGGAAAAGATAAAAAAAAATCGCCACTCTAAACCTCTCAAATTCCTTTTATTTCTAGTTATTTGTTGAAGTAGTTCTTCCATTAACCTGGTTTCATCTCCTGCCTATGTAACATACATGAGCAAAATGTTCTTGTGATCTGTGAGAACAGAAGGGACAGAAAAAGACAGAAACCTGCACTGCGGGTTTAGTCCATACACATAGAGTATTTTTTCTTAGTGGTAACTTGGGGGAGGGAATGGGTAGAGCGAAGGGAGGAGGGGTACCTAGAACACTCAGGTTTTTGTTTTTCTTAAAGCTAAATTGGTTGTCTTTCAATGCAAGCCAAAAATGTAAACACTGAGAAGTGAAAACATCCTGTGGGAGAAAAAGGGAAAGCCTTGAATTAGAATTCCCCTTAACAAGTTTCTTAGGGAAAAAAAAGAAAAGAAAAGAAAAGAGTCTTCAACCTGGGCTGTGCCAAATGTAGCTTTAATGAGTTCCACTAGAATTCTGAAGAAAAGTGGGCAATGCTTATAGAAGGTATGAGCTGAGAGAGGCCTGGTCTCTAAATAATAAAAAATTAATTCTGATTTCCTACTTCATAGCTAGCTAAGCTGTTACAGGGTCACAAATCAAGAGGGACCAAAGAATATCATTGCACCTTGGAGAATTATTATAGGTACAGAAAGCAGTTTCCCCATTTCTCCCTCTTGTTGGGAAGGCCAACTTGTAAGGAATAAGCTGATCATTCAAAACATACTTTGACTTTCTATTCTCTACACTGAAATGTAGGATGCAGCTCAGCTGTGCCCTTTACACTCACTTTGAGCCAGTGGTCCTATAGACACAATCAATTTGTCCTATAGACACAATTCATTTGTAGCCTTGCTACATTGGTTACCTGTGGAATGGAAAGAAGAACTCTACTAGGGTTGTTAGTCCTTTTTTTTGTGTCGTGGACCCCTTTGACCATCTGCTGAAGTCTATGGACCTTTTCTCAGAATAATGTTTTAAAATGCGTAAAGTAAAATACATAGGTCAATAGAAATGAATTATATTGAAATATAGTTATCAAAACATTTAAAAAAAAAGTTCACAGAGCCTAGGTTAAGAACCCCTCCTATATACCAACCCCAAAATTCATTTCAAAGGGGATAAAACCTTTTGTTCCTCATGTATAGAGAAGGTGAAACATGCAACCACCCTTGAGAGGCAATTACTAGAGTGTAGATTACTGTTATTATGTTCAATTTGATTCAACAAACATTTATTAGATGATTAGTTTGTGCAAGGTGCTTAGGACGCAGACAAAAATAAAGCAATCCTTACCTTCTAGAGGCTTACATTCTTCTGGAGTTTCCAATATTCTTCTTTGAGAGTATGGTTTTTATTGCACTAAATGGTGTGGGGGTGGGGGGAGGGAGGGTGCTTATGAAGATACTGTTCACCCTTGGGGAAACGAGATGCCAAAGAGGGAAGAAAATGGTTTGAAACTTTTGAAAGAGGAGGTAGAGGGTTGAAAAGAACCTCTGCCCACTTCACAATATTGCTGAAGATCAGTATTGTGTCCTAGGCAACCACACTTTGTCTGCCTTTAATCCCATCTCTATTTGAGTAGTAATATGACTCATATATGAGTGGGCAATCCAGTTACATTTTGGGTGAGCTTCTTCATCACCATTTTAGAGCTAGAAGGTTCTTCTAGGACAGAATCTTATGGAATCCCTGATGTTGTTTGTCCTTTTTTTTTGTCCTTTGTTTTCAAGAGGACCAGTGACATCACAGGGTGATAAACATCAGGATGATGTCTTGTTTGTGAATCGGATTTAAGTGAGGCAGAATTGCACACAATCATTAGCTTCACTCTCTCTTACAGTCTTCAAAGTCCAGTATCAAGACAAAAGTCAAGATGACTGGCAATGGCCCAGGATGCAGTGAATGACCTTGGCATCTTCAATGTCTGACCAAGCGCTGAGTGCTACACAACACCTGCTTCAGCTGCCTTCACGGCCATTGGAACAAATTGTTTTCATCTCCCCATTCTGCTGGGGGAAGTCTTCACGTGCTTGGGGTAAACACCCGGCTAACTCACCAAGGCGTTTGAAGACCATCAGTTACCCTAACCTGATTTAGCCCATCTGCCAAGACAGGTTACAGGGTGTGGCTCCTACACACACTACAGCTTCATGGAGCCATAGGTAAAAATTGGGTGAATCAGAAGGACACCAAAGGTGGCTGAGCAGCCCTGAAAAGGGCTTGGCAAGCCCTCACCCCAGAGACGCTAGTCCTTCCTGAACACCCTATACACACGTGATATAGAATCTCTCTTAGGAGGTACAAAGGGGACATGACTATGGTGCAGAAGAAAGAGTTGGAGATAGGCTCAGAGGTAGAATTCTGCCTTCTCTCCACTGGTCCAGGTTGTCCTCTTACAATTACCAATTAGATGCCTTGTTTGCTATTGGTTCAGCCTCTCTGATGACATGGTCAATGGGGAGTGGAAAGATTTAGCACATTACCAATAAAGATTTGCATACAAAGTATTGGATAAAAGATGTCATTCAGGAAAGGTATGATTGGGCAAGGAGGTGAGCCGATCAGGTAGCTAGAGTGAGGATAAGAGACAGCCCAAGTGGTATCCATACATATGTGTATAGATGTGTATTTATACACACACACACACACACACACACACACACACACACATATACTGATATCCATGCAATGTAGAGAAAAAGAAATCTTAATTTGGGCTCTGATCCCGGCTCGACTATTTGTTATCTCTGTAGTCTGGGGCAAATCACCTTAACTCCCTAGTACTCAGTTTCCTAATCTGTAAAATGAGGTGGATGACTAGATGATCATTAAGGTTCATTTCGGTTCTGAATTCTCTGATCCTAGCACTGAGACCTGAAGGAAAACCTTCCACACATTAGGCAACTTCTCTTTGGTAGATTTGTGAGAAAACATGGGCAAATATCACATAGAGTAAGAAGAGGATATGGATGGGTAATTATGTGTACTATTGGAGGAAATATCCACATGGATCAAATCACTGGTCCATGGAAGCATTGAATGCAGTTATAATTGTCCTAGTCATATGACTATATACCTAATAATTTGTTGCATTTTAGCTAGGTGACACAGATAGAGTTCTGGGTCTGGAGTCAGGAAGACTCAAGTTCAAATCCAGCCTCAGACACTTACTGTGTCAATCTGGACAAATCATTTAAACTTCTGTTTGCCTCAGTTTCCTCAGTTATAAAGTGGGGATAAGAATAGTTCCTACCTCTCAGCATTGTTGTGACTATCAAATAAAATAATATTTTTAAAGCACTTAGCACAGTGCCTGGCACATAGGAAGCACTATGTAAAGGTTAGCTATTATTATTTAGCAGACTTTACAAATATGTACATTTATATGTGTATACACACACACACACACATATATACAATATATACCAATGAACAATTGCATATTGAAGATTTGAAACACTCACTGTTCATTCCATTTGATGTAGGCAGATAACAGTCTCTTTACCCTTTTCTTCAAGACTACAAAGCTCTCAAAGCATATGCATCAGTGTAGCTAGGAAAGAAAGTAAAACATGTCTTGATGTTACTATTTTAATCATATGTAAAATTGACATGAGAGTACATTTTGGCTCTCAGTCTGCCTAAATCTATGGGTAGAGATAGGGACTGGCGCTGGACCTAGGATTTTTTGGCAAAGAAAAATCCTTGGCTGAGGTAGCATCCTCTCCCAAAACTTGTCAGCATCTTTTCTGCAACTTATAGGGCAGCTAGGTGGCTTAGTTGATAGAGCATCAGCTCTGGAATCAAGAAGACCTGAGTTCAAATATGGCCTCAGACTAGCTGTGTGACCCTGGGCAAGTCGCTTAACCCCATTTGCCTCAGTTTCCTCTGGAGAAAGAAATGGCAAACCACTCTAGTATCTTTGCCAAAAAGAAACCCCAACTGGGATCATGAAGAGTCAGACATTACTGAACAACAACAACGTCTCAGACAGTTGCCTGGACCGCTGAGAGGCTATGACTTGCCCAGGGTCACACAGATAGGGTATGTCAGAGGCAGGGCTTAAACTCAGATTTTCTTGGCTTCAAAGCTAGCTCTTTATCCACTACACCATGTTACTGCTCTAAATTGATAGAATAAATGTGATAAACAAGAGTTGATGGTTCTGGTCTAAATACTACCCAGAACTGACTCGCTGTAAAAGAAGAGGTTGGACACTTTTGGCTTAATATCACAAATCATTAAGTAAAGTCACCTCATATTATAAATATTTAGCTGTTCATTCCATCTTTGTCTTTATGGCTTTATTATTTATTATAATAAATATCTCGTTGTCGGGACAGCTTTCTCTCTGTTCATTTATCAAAGCATCGCTCTTCGGGATGAGCAAGAGATGGTTTTGTAATAATCTCCAAGATTCATCCCAACTTCAACATTCTAATGTTCTGAGATTTGGTGAGATGTTTTTTCCTCTACCCTGATCCTCATTCTATTGGGAATGCCTTCTCTTTTTACCTCTCTGTATGTCTAAATTCCCCTCATCTTCAATGGCCAAATCCTAACTTCCTCACAAAACCAGGGATAACTACTCTAGTCCATGCTGCTGTTTTCCTTTTCTGAACTCCTTTAGAACTCATTGTCTTACTCATTTTTGTTATTTCATCATATATCATTCATAAACCAGCCAGGTCTTTGTTCAGGCTGTGCCCCATTGCTCAGAATGCTTAGAATGCACTTCTTCCTTGTCTCTAACTTTTAGAATTTTTTGTTTCCTCCAATGTCATCAGATCAGATGTCACCTTCTGAATCTACAGAAAGCTTTTCTAGATTTTCTCTTCCCTCCCCACCTCACCCTATGCCAAGTTGTTAGTTTTCTTTCCCTTCTCCTAGTATCTTATATTTAGTCATCTGTGGGCATGTTACATCTCCAGAAAAAAAAATTTAAGGTCTTGAATGGTTTGGGGGCTGTTTTATATTTGTCTTTGTAGTTAGCATCTAGTACAGAGTCTTGCACACAGTAGTCATTTAATAAGTGTTTATCACATTTAATTGGATGCTGTCTTACATTACAATTTGACTATTTCATTTGCATGCATCTTGTGAGCCCGACAACATGACACCAACTTTAAAGGTGGGTTCTAGGTCTCATTTTTTTTTCTGTATTCTAGAGTCTAGCACATGATACCCAGTAAATGTTTGATCTATCCACTTTCTGCCCCCTCCTATCCTCTATGCTAATACCTTCCTTCTGAGACTATACATTGTATATAGCTTATATGGACATAGTGGAGTGCCTGTTGTCTCTTCCGTAGGAATGTGAGCTCCTTGAGGGAAGGGACAATGTTTTATCCCTTCTTTGTATCCCCAGTACTTACACAGGGTTTGGCACATAGTAGGTACTTAATAGATGTATGATGACTGATAAACTGAATGATTGAACAATCATCTTTTTTTTTCTCTTCAAGTAATCAGGGAGATAAATACATCCAAATATGATTAAATAAGTTAATACGTGTGAAGCATTTTGCAAATTTTAACATGCTATATAAACACTAGCTATTTATAATAAATTTAATTTATTATTAATTATTTATTTTAAATAACTTATTTATTAAGGGAAATGGGAAGGAAATTAACTAAATTTAATATAAATAAAATATATTTTAATTTATTCTACAATAATAAAATTATATTCTTTATATAATAATAAAACTGTTATATAAGTGCTAGCTATTAATTATAATAATAAAGCTCTATATTCTTTTTACATTCCATAATAAATTATCTAATAATAAAGAACTGTATTTTTATATAATAATAAAGTGCCATATAAATGTTAGCTAACGATCTGGCCTCCTGCCTTATCATTCCACCCAATCTGCTCTCTCCAAGGTTACCAATGATCTCTTTCTTAGTTGCCAAATCCAATAGTCTTTTCTCAATATTAATGCTCCTTAACCTCTCTGCAGCCTTTGACACTGTTGCTCACTCTCTCCAACTTGATACTCTCTTCTATCTTAGTTCTGGGGACACGACTCTCCCCTGGTTTTCCTTCTACCTATCTGATCTCTCCTTCTCTGTTTTCTTTGCTGGATCCCCATGAGATCACACCCTCTTACCATACCTGTCCCTTGGGGTTCCGTCCTCTTCTCTTCTCCCTCTATGTTACATCACTTGGTGATTTCATCAGCTCCCATGGGTTTAATGACTGTCTCTCTGCTGGTGATTTTCCTGCCCCTATCTCTCTACCAATCTCACATCTTCAACTTCCTTTCAGACATCTTGAACTTAATGTCCGGTAGACATCTTGAACACCATATTTCTAAAAGAGGCCTCATTATCTTTTCCCCTAACCTCTCCCCCACCCCTACTTTTACTATTACTGTAGAGGGCAGTGTCGTCCCCCCAGTCCCTGAGGCTCCCAACCTAGGAATCATCTTGGATTCCTCACTGTCTCTCCCCCCCACATATCCAGTCTGTGATTCCACTTTTGCCACATCTCTCCCATATGCTCCCTTCTCTTCTCTGACACTGCCACCACCCCAGCGCAGGCCTTCATCACCTCAGGCCTGAATTATTGAAATAGCCTGCTGGCAGTGGCTGCTCACCCTGCTCCTATCCATCGTCTCTTCAGCCATTAGTGATTGAAACAGGTCTGGCACGTCATCTCGCCCCTCCCCCTACTCAATAAACTCCAGTGGCTTCCTATTGCCTCCAGGAGCAAATTCAAAATGCTTGCTTTGGCATTCAAAGCCCTTCATAACTGAGCCCCCTCCCACTTTTACAGTCTCTTGACACCTTACTCCCCCCGCATATACCCATTGATCTAGTGACCCTGGCTTCCTGGCTTTTCCACAAATAAGACACTATCTCTCAGTTCTAGGTTTTTTCTCTGGCTGTCCTCCATGCTTGTAATGGTCTCCCTTCTCCGCTCCAACTACTGACCTCCTTAGCTTCCTTTAAGTCCCAATTTATATCCCATCTTCTACATAAAGCCTTCCCCAACCCCTCTTAAAAATCATCCCAGTGATTCCTTCTTTTACTTATTTCCTACTTATCCTATATATAGCTTGCTTCATATGTATTTGTTTGCTTGTTGATTCCCCAATTGGACTGTAAGTTCCTGGAGGGCAGGGACTGTCTTTTGCCTCCTTCTGTATCCCTAGTGCTTAGTGTAGTGCCTGACACATAGTAGGTGCTTAATAAATGTTTATTGATTGACTGATGATGATGATGATGATGATGATGATAAAAAAGGAGGAGGAAAAGAAAGGAGGAGGAAGAAAAGGAAGAAGGAGGAGAAAGAGGAGGAGACCCAAATAATCCTGTTATAATACATAATGGCTCTTTGAGAGCAATCAGAACTTGACAAGTAGGAAGTCATTCCCCAAATCACAGTCACTTTATTTTCCCTTGTTCTATAATCCTGGGCAATGCAAGAAAAAGGTCAGCCTGAAAGTAGTAGAAGCTTGGTATGTAAAGTAAATGGATAAATACATGATAAGGAAAGCAAATGAGTGTATTCACTGTCAAATTCTAAATGGCAAGAAAGCCTCGAAGGAAGCAGTTTAACTTCCTGACAAACCTGTCACCTCCATCCTAGACAGCAGAGCCTGTCAGAGGCAGAGAAGTTCCATGTCACTTCTGAAATAGCTCTGTGTCTGACATCCAGTATTTGTTTCAAGGCTCATCCTCAAGGCTGAAAAGAGAACCGAGTGACGGGTAATTCCGGGGAATCTAGCCAAAGCACTTTGTCGTTGGCAATGTACAAAAATTCCTTTATTAAACAGCAGAGACTGTACAGGTTCTCACCTATGAAAGACAGTCAGTGTCACTGGGCCTTTTTTTTTTTTGGTGGGAAGTAAAACAAATTTGAAAACCTCGTTTGAATATTGTTTCATATAATTTGGGGGAATGCTCACAGCCGACACATTTCCTGTCAGTGGGCAGAGTAAATTCTCTTTCATGGCATGCAGATTTTCCCTGGCTACATCTGTCTATCCTTTGCTATTTGATCATGCTGAGGAGGAAGTCAGGATTGCCATACTAAAAAATATGCCTGCCAAAGTATTCTCGACGGCTGAACTGCTGATGAGCTGGGAAAAATAGCATGCTTTGGGAGTGAAGTGTTCACCAGAGAGGAGGACGCAAACCATTCTGATGGATCTCTGCTGCCCTGATGTCTCAGAGTCAACCTACTGTGGCCAACGCACTGTATTAGGCACAGAAGATACAGACCCAAAATGAAATAGTCCCTGCCCTCAAGGAGCTTTTATCCTACTGGGGAAATACAACATTTAAACCAATAAATAGCTATTACATAATTTTGAGAGGGAGATAGTATTAGCAGCTAGAAGGATAGAATTCAAACTAATTGACTCCACTCATGGAAAAATGACGATTCCTTTGTTTCCCCTACTGATCTGGATTTCTCTGTTTCAAAAAATCTTAGGCAAATACATAGCTCAGGGTAGTGGCTTCACCAGTAACTAACGAGTTAGCAGTGTGACCTTTTCCAAGCTGAGGCATCCAAAATAGATTATTGCATCCAGG